TAAGAAAATCAATGTTCAAAAAAACAGTCCTTAAATGCAAATACGACCCCCACGCCCTTACTTTTCAAGTACGAACGCTGTAAACAGTCATTTAGCAAGCCGAAAGCTGCTGAACACGGAAAACTAAAAACCAGGGAAAGGGTGGCCTCCTATGAACAACATGGGAGCTGGGGGAGGAGCAAGTGGTCCACTCACCTACGCACGTCTGTGGCCTTCCGCCCAAGCTAACCAATCTATTTACCCTCTGGTGGCGGTGAATTGTTATCAGATTCATCTGGTAGGAAAGAACACCTGTACATCCGCCCCCCACCCCCCTTCCAAGTCATTGTTTGGGCCACATCTCCTTCAATAAATCGCTACTGACCTGGACAGAAGGGTAACCTGTACCAAGAAGAGACCAATCAATAGCGAAAGCTTTCTCCTTCATATCAGAGAAAGGTGGTCGGACCCAGTTAACTATCGCCACTCACGCGCCTCTCCTCCTCGGGTTTTTTTCACTACTGTAGACAGTGGGATTGAGAGGCGCGCCAGATGACGTGTCTCCTGGCCCCGCCTAGCCAGTAATCTCGGAATCCCTAACAGTGTCTTTGGGATATCCACCTAGGGAATACCAAGCTAGATACATTCAAGAAGAACAAGGAAGGTCTTCGAAAGCACTCATAGACTTGCAAGCGCCAAGCGCCGAACAATGGCAACCGTCTCCGATAAGGCATAATCTAGCGCCAAACACCCAGGCACACACTCTCTCTCAGCCCGGGAGCATGGCTCCCGACACCCCGACAGCCTAGTCCCCCTTTCGGGACTACTGATTTGTTTTTAGTTTCTATAGCATGGTTTCCATCGTTTTTCTGCACTCTCACTCTGGAACAAGGCCGATGGTCCCATGCACTGACAGTTTTGGCCCCGCCTCCGACGGTCACGCCCACTTCATGACTTTACAGTAAAGAGAGTTTTCCACGGTAAACGCAACAAAAACGAGATTGAAAAGTAAATGAATGGAAGAGCCACAAGTAAAACTATCAACTCACCTCCACTGTAGGTTTACTGTGGAGGGGTGGAGGCGGCGTAGAGCTGCTCGATAATGACGTATTGGTGATGTCTAACGAGCTCATCGAAGTAGAGAACGTCGAATTCAACCTGAAAATCAGCGTCTTAGTCAAATTCTCTCAAAAGGGGGAGCAAAAAAAAGCCGCAAACAAGTCACAGCATCGTTAGGAGAATCCTATCAAGGGAAGGATCGCACATGGTCGGCAGAAGAGGGAGAAGGGCGTGCTCGCCTTTGGGAAAGATTCTTCCTATGCGAGAGAAAGTTTTTTTCGGCTGTTGACTACCCTGCGTTTTTATGCTTCACGTTCGCTATTGCTCCCGCGCCTCAGAGACAGCTTTTTTTTGGGGAATTGGTAGCTGTTAGGAAGTCGGAAAATTTCAGGTAAGTAAACTAGAGGGGGGGGGGAATGATAGGTATTATGAGGTAATGTGAGGTAAGTAGGATCAAGCAGGAGGTTCGGGAAATTTTCCGAC